ACCTTGTAAAATGAGGTATCGGAAAGAGGTACTTGTGAAATGAAATATGAGAAATAGTGAGATATGTGCTTATTGTTGGCAGTAGCCTCGGCACTGAATAAAAAGAGATATTTTATGAGAAATTGAAGAAAAGAACGGTTGCTTTTACCTATTGCAGAATTCAAACCTCTGGCACATCTTCTCCACAACTATATCCAATGGCTTATCTGCGATTAGACGCAGAAGCTTTCTAAAACATTCGTCAACAAAATGTACATCTTCTGACGAAAAAAATAAGAATATCGCATTATACCTGACAATGAATTTAAAATCGTTCAAAGAAACTTTCTTCTCAAAACGGCACACTCGACATATCAGGTCAGGCATAACATTCACCAAAAGATTGCCCTGAAATGAAATTCAATTAAATATTCCGTTAGGGGAAAATAACACTTGAATGACCCAAGCGTCTTCTTTCTGTTTGACATTCGAGCTTACCTTCAATGAAATCTCATAAAAGAGTTTCACAGCAAGAGCCATGACCTCGCGATTGGCATTACGAGATTGCGACGCTCCGCCGTCAGTTGATGCACTCCTCTTGAGCATACAAAGCGCAACATTTGACAATGTACCTCTCGGCTAAAAAACTTACATGATCAAACAAAATTTCTTAGCATGTATTGTAAAAAAAACGTTATTTACTTTAAGAATATCACGTGTAAGCATCTTAGTCAAGTAGAGCAGAGAAGTAATCTCTACACTCGGATCCTGATCGACAGGCCTGGAATTTGCGTGAATATCTTAGCAACTTTCACCAAGAGAGATCCTGTATTTCTCACATTTCAAATAGAAATAAGGCATGTCGATCCAACATGGAGGGAAAACGCTGCATGATGTCGACGGCAGAAACAAGAAGGTATTCTCTCATATCTGCATCAGGATGGCAGCATGTGAACGTAAGGAACAGCGAACTAGCTCTCTCCGTAAACTGCGGACTAAAATTGGAAGAAAATGGAGAACCCAAAATATAGAGAATCTCAACGGACCAGATCAATAAGAATTTGCTAAATGCCCTCAATGCAGCGTCGGTGATAGGTTTTGGATTATTCGGGCAGCGGACGAAATACACAACCATCGCCAAGCACCTGCCCAAGATGTGATCTTTCTGCAGCAGTTTCGTTTCCAGTAGATCCATGGTACGAGTACGAATCAATTCATCGGTAGAAGGACCTCAAGAGAGAGATCATATCAGACCTTAGAAAGATTGAAACGAGATTAGCACTTTTTAAAATTAATTACTGCCTCGCAGTTTTGAACAATGAATAACATACGATTCGATTCATCATCTTCGTCATCCTCGTTACTTTCTTCCGCTGTTTCTAATGATGGCTCCGATGGCTGCGATTCTATATCAGCTTTTTCCCCATTTTTCTCAGAATGCTGGGACTCAGATGATTTTGTCTTCGCAGGTGCGATAGTCCTAGCGAATATCCCCTCTCGATAGGCAAAGTCCATCTCGAGATCGGTATGCGCTCTGGCGTAGTCAGCGTAAGGCTCCGTTGCCTCTTCCAGTTGCTTCAAAAAGTATCATAAACAAGAGGACAACTTTGCCTATGTTATCAACGTACTTCAGCAGCTGCATCGTCAAGTTCCATGGCACGTTTGAGCAATTTCGGGAAACTGTTGTCAATATAAAGGAGCATTCCCTCAACTACCTATAATTTCGAATCAGTGAGATCTTCAATACAAAGATTATGAAATGTGTCCAAACCTCTGCGACAACCATTAAGGCACGCTCTGTTGTCCTTTGCCAAGCGCTGTTTAAACATTCCCTATGATAGAAGCATGATCACACAAAAAAGATGAGAGAAATGCAACAAAGAAGAATTCTGGAACAAGAGAAGAAACTCTTTCTCAAACCCACCTTCTCTGATTAACCCAATCCTGATTAATATTCGCTGGCACCTTTCCTGCACGTTCAAGATTGACGTGCGCGATAAAGGCATCACTGCTCCGCTTAGCATACCATAAACACTAAATTACCGCATAATTTTCACAAAACTGATTTGTGAGGGTTTTGGATTCTACCTTGGTGAGAATTCGCGAAATCACAAAATCCACATCTGCAGCCATTGAAAATATCACCTTGATACAGTTACGGGCACATCTATACCAATAATCCGATACCGATGTTCCATCTGGTAACTGCTCCTTATAATCAGACAAAAACACTGTAACCAAATTTTTGTGATAAGATTTGAAAATTTAATATATAAGAAGTTACTTTGGAAGAAGAGGCGCTCGATATCTGCAAACAACGAATCAGTAGCCCGCAGACGATACGCATAATTTTCCTCCTCCTTTGCAGGATCTTCCTGTTCAAATAAAGGTAAAAACTTTGAAGTTTTTTCTATTGCTACAAGCAACCTTTTAAGCAAATGTGCCCTGCCTTCGCACTTGCAATCTAGCACAACAATAATTGAGTACTGGGATGATAAACACGTGAAAACGATAAGCAAAATTTACCTCCGAAGGAGGGATCAGATGAGATATTACTAGCAGAGCATCACAAGCTTCGCGCACATCTTCAGATCTCACACATTTATGGAAAACTCGAAAATGTTTTCGCATCCCGTATGGATCCACCCTAAAATGAAGAATACGATCACTCTTATTCGTTTCGAGATTATTATGTATCAACCGTGTCAGCAGTGCAAGAACTGTAAGGGCAGGGCATCTGTAGGGAGAAGAGACTTTACAGACAATCTAAAAAAGAGGTTTCATTACTCCAATACAGTGCAGTGGAAACGAGAAATCCTCACGCACATTAATCAGATGAGTTACAAGCCCTGGAGGAAAAGGAGCGCTGACAAAGGCATGATAAATGAGTTCCTCTATTGCGATACGATCTCCCTAGAATAAATTGACCTAAAATCACTAGCAAACCAGAAAGAAGGCCAAAATTTCCAAGCAAGTTAATGTTAGGTAAAGATTAAAGAAGAAAACATGCGTCTTCTTTCTCAGTCAGTTTCTCCATAAGACAGTTCGCTGTCTCCACAATATCAACATCTCCTCTGCTGTAAAAAACCGCTAAAACATAAAGAACCAGCAACATGTGATCAATACTCAACAAAAACTTACACATTTCTCTTAAGAAACAGCATTTTGATTGTGTTGAGAACTTCTGTGGCTGCATTCTTATTACCTGACATATACATGCGATATAAGGCAGATGCGGATTTTCTGAATATAGGAAATAAATGATGGCGGATGTAGACTTCAGTGCACTTACCTAATTCTGAATCTATAACAAGTAGCAAAGAGAGTAACTGCATAACTAACGTCTGTAAAACCATTTTGTTCCAACGCTTCATAGATATGAGAAAACAGCAACGTCATCTGTTCAGCAAATAGCATCTTCTCCTGCAAAAAAGCAAAGCCATTCCTTCCGAGATCAATAACAATAAATGGCTACCTATAACCTTACCTGCACAACATTAACAGCACGCTCAGCGCGATCCATATTTTCTTCATAAAAAGTTCCCATTTCCTCTAGACGACTTTGTCCAAGAGAGTCGCCTATGTAGCCCATATGCATGGTGATATAGTAACGACGGAATTCATTTAGCAATGCTTCAACAAGCTCCTTTGTAGGAAGATTCCTAAGAGGTAATTTAGCAAGATTCTAAATACCCAATGACAACATACGGGTCAATTTTTTTGAATTTTCCAAGAAAGCACATTTTTGCCAGGATGCACAGCACATACTCCATAGATAATTCTATCATATCGACCATAACGACGATAATGCTGAAAAAGAAAAAAGACGTCACTGTGGGTCGCCTGTTCGGTTTGATGAATACAAGAAAATAAGAGTTTCTCAAAAAAGCTTATCGAGGTAAATCTGCGTCAACTAACTCCTCAAGTGGTTTGTCAACCAGGTCCTCAGTATTTTCTTCATACTTTTTCGTTTCTATCACACGCGTCAGTATTTCCTTCATACGAACCGCAAATGAGTTGAACCTCTCCATGATCACCTGCACGCCAGGTCGTTCTGAAGGCTATCAAGTGAGCTTTATTCCGACCATAAGGATCAATTTAATATTACCTGGATCAAGTACTTCAATGCGTTTGATGAAGTTGGCCAAGTTTGAGCATGCCTGACTTAGTTCATCGAAGTTCAACTGAATTTGCGCTATACACAAATATGGAGTTAGGATAATAATTTTTCGGAAACGCACCTCTTTACCATATGGACCAAGCAGGAGATACAATACAAGAAACTGCATAGCCAGCTTACGAGCAGCTGCTGACTTCTCCGATTTCAGTCTTTCAGCTATAGTGGAGTGTAAACGCAAGGTAATTTTTCTAGACTTAAAACCAACATACTTATAGCAAAAAACAGCCCCTTTTTGAGCGAGTCGAAAGGGACGCGACGTGCATTAGCGATTTGTACCCAAAAGGTGAGTACGTTCATACGTACTTGGGGGTTCACATCTGCCAAAAAATCCTGAATAGTCGTATTCAGCACAAATAAAGATGCTCAGATGTTGTTGAAAACTAACCAAAAGGCAGTCAGTCATAATGACATAGCTACTATAGATATTCGTCCCAGGGCGCACATACTTGGGGGCAAGAAGTTCGTTATTGCATATATTCTGACAAAATGCTTCTAGAATTGCCGTACGTAGAGCAGGTGGCTGTAAGAAAGCATAAAGCCTGCTACTGATGGTGCCTTTGCTAGACCACCTCTCTATCTTCCAAAAGTGCATGAAAGATTTAGGCCCCGATTAGTCAATCCAATACTTACATCATAGTCGAGAGCACGAGCTGCCTGTGCACAGTGATCCAGAAAAACTTCAGGAGCACGATGCGATAGCTTTTGCACTAGCGCTACATATGGCCTCTGCAACGTTCCAGCCGCCTCAAATGGGACTAATCTCCACATGCGCATCAACATCACAGACAGCATTTGTTCGTGCGTTCTTCCTAAAAGGCTTACTTTGTTAACAAGATTACTAAAACGCTAGTAATAAAATCCACAGACCATGGCCGGCCACCTTTTCTAGAACGTCAACAAAGGGGTAATCGGCGCGGGCATCTTTCAGATAATTATACTTCATACTTGCGTCGACCAAATCCTCAGCAAATGCTGAAGAGAAGGAAATCCTGAGTTCAAACAAATAATAAATAATATATATACTATATTATGTACTTGTACGCCTGCAAACATAAAATTATAAACGTGGTAGAAAAAGCGGAATGAGCGCAACTAATTGGTGATAGCTGCAATTGTATGGCACTCTTTATAATAGCTCTGCTGAGCTTTCACATACTCAATTGCATAAGCTATCAGTAAATATGAAAAAGTCACGAAAAGATCAAGCAAAGAAAAAAGAAAATTTTTGGAAGTTCCAAAAATCCACTACGAACACTCACAGCAGGCATAATCAAATGCAATACAAACGGGGCGCATGTGCGCAAACAACTTCTCCAGGTCGTCTTTCGCATTTTTCTTGGCATAGCGAGGATGGGAGGCAAATTTGAGGACGATAGTCGAAAAAGACCTTAAAAGCAAGCAACTGCAGACTACCAGAGAGAAAGAAGAAAAAATAAAAGTCCTACTTGAGAAGTTCCGTATTCAGCCGTGGTGGACGCGACAAAAACTGAATAGCGTTCTCGATAACCTCGCCATTTCCACGCGATATGTTTAGGCAACAGATGAAGTCAATCATTTCAAGTACCTGTGGAAGAAAAAACTGAGCATAGGCTGAATCAAAGACTGTTAAAGTAAAGAGTCGCCTAGTAAAAAAAGAACAGAGTATGACACCCAAAAGTACCTGATTTCGCACATTGTTCCAAATTTCAAATCCATCCTCAGTCATACTTTCATCCACTATGGCATCGTCGTCAATGCCAACTTCATCTTCATCAGAAACGTAAACACCA